ATTCCCTGCCCAATAAGGCCTTGCCCAAACAGCGCTGCCTGCTGCGCTAGCCCTATGTCTGATGGAGTAAATTGACCACCATAAGCAGGCGCATTGAAACCTCCCATGTTCACTGCAGCATTAGACGGGGTAGCATTGGCACCACTGGAGTTGTTGGTAGCAGCGGATGCCCTACCCTTGTTGCTATCAGTGGCCTTCTGACAAACCAGATTATACCCTTCAAAGTTCTTAATAGGCTCTGCTAAGGCCTTTCTTGCTCCCTCAACAGTTCTGAAAACGAAAAGTGCAAAGCCCTTAGCCTTGCCAGTTTGGCGATCGAATCCAATCGGCCCTTCCTCGATCTCTCCATACTGAGAAAAGAATGCATGGAGACGGCGGCCATCAATGTCGCCGTGGAGATTGCCAACATAGATCTTTCGAGGAAGGTTATCGCTGGGATTAGAATTAGGGCTATGGTTACTCATGTTACGATTAACGTTCTGTGTGGGGCCGGCGGAGGCAAGCTGGCAGGTAGTCATGCGGTTGTCAATGAGCTTATTGGGACGGCGGAGGGCACGGCGAGCAGAAGAACGTTGTCGGAAGAGGACGAAACCGTACCCTTTGGAGCGGCCCGTTGCACGGTCAGCGACAACGCGACACTCTTCGATTTCACCATAGCGGGCATAAGCTGCGCGGAGACTATCGGAGGTGGTTTCCCAACCGAGGCTGTGGATGAAGAGCTTTCGATTGGCGGGATCGATATCGGTTAGGGTGCGGATCGAGGCAAGAGTGACGGGGTCTCGAGCCGCTGCGGAGACAAGTAGTGAAGTGAGCTGTTCAGTGTCAAGGGGTGCTAGAAGTTTACGGACGTCTTCTTCCTCTTCTTCGTAGTCAGGATCGGAGTCTGAAGCCGGGGCGCTGGAATCATCGTCAGGCTGGCGGACGTATGAGACGGCGGTGTGGTGAGGCTTGGCATCGGTGTCGTGGTTGGGGATGGAATGCTGTTCGGCGTCTTGGTCCGCCTTCCGCTTTTTGGCGGAAGCCATTAGAGGCAACGAGTGCAGAGGAAAGACCGTAGCCGCGAAGAGGATCGAGGGTTTTGCTTTAGGGTTTTATGGTTTGACAATGATACTTTGGA